TGTTGCTTGGACTCATGTTCTTCCTCCAGCTGCTGTTCTATTGTCTTTATCTTCTTGTTCATGGTGGCCTTCGGCTGCTCCATGTCTTCCTCCCTTCCCTCAATCTCCTTTTGGTGTTGAGTTTTGAGAGAATTCTGTGACAGCTCCAAACGAGACTTAGCCTAAAAGCAAAGATAATAATAACAACGACACAACAAATATTAATTTACTTGTTGTAATGAATCAACTTTTATATTCAAATCATCCACTTCATCCTCCAACTCTTCAATTTTTGATTCCAATTCTCTTTTCATTTTTTTCAAAGAAACAATCTAAAATGAAACATGCAAAGCCAGTTATTAATTGACCACACCACCAATGAATATTAATTACCTCATTATCAGTACTAATGCTTCCTTTCTTCAACAGCTCCGTTTCTATTTCAGTCTTTTCACTTTCAAGTTTCTGATGGTCTTCTTTCAATTTCTATAAAATAATAATAATAATAATAATAATAATAATAATAATAATAATAATGATAATAATAATAATAATGATAATGATAATAATAATAATAATAATAATAATAATAATAATAATAATAATAATAATAATAATAATAATAATAATAATAAAGATTAATTAATCAATAACTTTACTTTGTATTTTTCTTCTAATAAAGTGAAATCGGCTGACAATAAATTCTTTTCTCTCTCCAATCTCTCCCTGGCTTGTTTCTCATCGCTAGCTCCATCTCTTACTGAATTAATATCAGAATCAAATCTAAAAAACAAACATTATTATTATTATTATTATTATTATTATTATTATTATTATTATTATTATTATTGTTGTTGTTTTTGTTTATGTTGTTTACTTTCTCTGTCTTTTTTCCAATTCTTCGTTCCTGTTCTGCTGTGCCTCAAGCATCAGTTTCAAGTCGTTCAGTTCAGAACTAAATTTGGATCCTTTCTTACGAGCCTGGGACAGGTTCCGCCTCAGGTCCTCAACTTCAGCATCAGAATCAGCGAGCTACAATTAATAATAATAATAATAATAACAATAATAATAATAATAACAATAATAATAATAATAACAATAATAATAATAATAACAATAATAATAATAATAATAATAATAATAATAATAATAATAATAATAATAATCTCACCTTTTTCTCTAGTACTTTCTTTGCATGTTGCAGTCGCTCCACCTGGTCCTCATACTCTGTACTTATTCTCTGCCGGAGGGTTTCAAGTTCTCTCTTAGTCTCCCAGTATTTCTCTAGAACAGCTTTTAAACAAACAAACAAACAAATAAACAAATAAATAAATATTGAAAGGATGGGATATGCTATACCTTCAGAGTTATTTTCAGTTTCGTTTTCGTCACCTCCGCCATTTTCACTCTGCTTGATTCTGGCTAATATTGTCAACTCAGCAATTTGTAACTGAAGTTCCTCGTTCCTTTTAATGAGTTCGTCCTCCGTCGACTAATTAATAATAATAAATGTTATTAATATTATTATTATTATTATTAGAATTACTGTGACGTCCTGGTTTTGCTCCTGTAAAGCTCGTCTGTCAATCTGCTCCTGCTCCAATAACTCAGTCACATGCTGAGCTGTCTCCTAACACAAATACACATTATAACAACACCATGCAGCTTTCATTCCT